ACTAAATTTATACCATTGGCGTACTTAACTCGAATGACTGACATTTTTACCGTTACTAATTGTTTGTACATAAGTTTCAACTTTAAAATCAAAATTCTTAATAAGTATTGGGCGGAATTATAAAATTTAAAGTCTGTTGTAAAGAGAATTGTAAGAGCTTTCAAAAGAAATATTACTCAACCCCCAATGCCTTTAAATATTTTGGGGTGATGCTTACCCTTGCTTGGGGGTGAAAGTAGCGGAGTCAAAAATACCAGCAAAGAATGCCCCCCTTTAATCTAAAATCGACGGGTCTGAGCGTTTTTCTACAATATTGACGCAGTTCCTGAAAATGACTCTGTTTCGTTTTCATTTGGCCACCCTGTATTTAAAGGGATGTTGAGAATATTCTATAATCTACAACCTCATTTTCATTTCTCTTAAAAAATTGAGGCAGATATTTTTCCGTACTTACTTTAGCAGCAGTAAATAGACAAGATGCAATGTTGAAAAGAGAGGATAAAGTTTGGGCAAGTATCATTAAATTAAACATTTTCTCAATTTCTTCCGTTACACTGAAACAGAAATTTTAGTAGCAATCTGATAAAAAAATTATACTTATATATTCTATACTGGTCTAATAAAATTTTCAATTTATTCTACGTACTTTAATATTATATTCAGATGCATAACTAAATGTTTAAACTCTTTATATAGCTCTTCTTCAAAGAGAGGCAAATGTTCATCGTGAAAAATTTCTAAATTTTCATCCAAATCTAATCGTCGCATAACTCTTTTTCGAATTGTTCTTATAGCACCTTTGAGTATGACCAGATGCGTCTTGACACAATTTAATAAAGCCGCGATAAAACCATCATAACCTAAAAACCGACACAAAAATTAACAATGTTAAATGGTTTTCTTCTAGATACATTTCTTAAAGTTCTGGAGTTAACTATAGAGGTCCACATTTCCCTGGAATCAATTTTTTTTACAACGGTAAAGTGAAATAGTTAAATTCAAGGAATAACAAGTTCTCGCTGGTGAGTTTTCTGGTGGGTGAGGGGATTGCGAATTTCCTAAGTGCATGTTGCACAGTCATCGTCAGCAGAAATCAGTCAAGCTCCGCTACAATATAAGCTTCCCGATCTTTCAGCGAGCGTTTGACTATGACTTGAATTTCGGAAAATAAACCAATATTTGGTGACCGAAAATGGACCATAACCAAAAATGACTATGACTTTATTTTATTGGATGAAAATTTATAAGACTTTACCCACTTGATAATCTCTTATCTTCACGTAGAACGAAGTTCTTAAAATAAGTTATACTAAGTTACTTACATCCAACGAGCCAAGCAAAAGCGCAGACTGAGATGTCCATAAAGAATAGAACATATTCGCACTTGGTTGTAGTGTCCACTTCGAATGGAATAAGAAAATAATATGGCACGAAATCTTGACAGTTATAGTCTCCTTCAAATATTGTTCCATTTATTTCCTTGCGTATTACTCTCACAGCAGAAGCATGAGCGGATACTCCTACGAGAGTAAATGTGCATAGTACCTAAAAAATAATTTCAAAAAATGTACTACAAAGAAACTGAATAAATTATGAAAATAAAAAAACTCCCTACCGATATCGATATCACTTTACTAAATCTCTTCTCCTTGAGAAAAATGAGTGATGGTTTAAACTCGTCTAAGGATTCATACTGGTAGTTTTCATCATGAAGAATGTCCATAAATTTTTTAAACTTGTTACGTCGAAGGATTATAAATGCTATTTTAACGGTTCCCAAAGCGTTGCTAAACAAAAGTCCAATGTGACTAAAGAATTTGTTGATATCTTTAGAAGTTTCACTTAAAATCAAAAATTGCAGTATGAGAAATATAGTTCCGACTGTATACTCTATTAAAATCCAAATTATTTGTAGGTACTTTTTCCATTTAGAAATGTTATTGGATTTACACAACCATAGGCCCGTTAAATATGACAGAATTTCATTTGTTTCAAAGAAGTTTTTCGGGTAACTCGAATGCTGCTTCATTTTGCATTTAATTAGCCAGAATAGAAAATGATTGCTGTTTATATAGTTCTGCTCGCTAAATATTAGATAAGTGCAAACCAAGCAAATGTCTTGGTTCCTTGTATATAAATTACTTATTAGAGTACATAAAGTAAGGAAATTATTACGGGCAGAAGCATCAAATATTTGAAATGTTTGTAAACTTATGTATGTGAAAAAGAACAAGACACTTGTAGGAATGAAAAAAATGGACCAATAATGTCTTACATTCAAACACTGAACTGGATTCTTATCTGACCATGATTCGGAATGATAAATCAAAAGAAAAAAGTTATTTATCATCATGTAATATGATCTAAAAAAAATCCTAATAGGTTAATTTTATCTAATTCCACAAATCCTACTACGTAGGTAGGTATATTTCCTTCTGATTTCTGCCGTGAAAACTTGTATTTGGGCATACTTGCGTCTAATTTATAAATTTAAGCTCGACTAACAAAAAAAATATCTGTATTCCATAATCTTACAAAATGCCTGCCAAAAGTAAATAAATAAATAAATAAATAAATAAATAAAATATACCTATGCCTCGACCACCGCCCCCTACCTTCCCCCTCCCTCCGCCCCTAGAGACAAGAACCTAACCTTTATACATATGATACTAAAATAATAGACAACTTATCAAACTTGGGGATTAAAACAGTAGATGGCGACACTCCCTGTCATCCTTATTTGTAGTCCAATCCGGGCGAATTAGACCAAACACATGTTTCAAAAATTGGGCCTAACTCGAATTTTATGGGCTTAAAATTAGGTAAAAAATACACAGAATAAAAGCCTAAATTTGTGTATTTGTAGAGGTCGAGCGTCATATTGTTTATAACAAACGAAAAAAAAATAATTGCTCATTTTTCAGTTTTTCGCTTATATCTCCGAAAATAAGCCTCTAATCGACATGAGGTATACTTATCGATTTTGTTTCTGAGGAAATTGGCTACAAAAATAAGCATTTGCGAAAGCTCGCAAAATTTTTTTTATATTGTAAAATTGGCTGTGAAAAAAAATTACTAAATTTTCAGAATTAAATGAAAAGAACAAATTTGACTGAAATTGGAGGAAACTACAGGAAAAGATTGGGGTGCTCAACAAATACTCGCAATCCGGACCCCCAATTTCAAAATGGCGACGTATTGCAAAGGTATAAAGTCGAAAGCGTAAGCGCGTATATCTTCTGCCCAAGTCAAGAAATCGAAATTCGGCAAAAAAGGATCGAAAGGTAATTACATTATTTCGCGTCTGTGTAAATTTCAAATTTTTAAGTTTCAAAATAAAATGTTATTAACAAAAAACTAAAAAAAAAACGGTAATTAGGGTCTTTTTCTCAGATTTTTTAATAGGTATACAGATTTCAAACCAATTGCATGATATAGTGCTTAAAGAAACATGAATTTAAAAAAAAAGCGTCTCGATCCGACCAATAGGAACCGAGATAATTTTTTTTTCTTAAAAATTGTATTCTGGCTGATATTTTACAGCAAATTTCTTCAGAAACAAAATCGATAAGTATACCTCATGTCGATTAGATGCTTATTTTCGGAGATATAAGCGAAAAACTTAAAAGAGCAATTTTTTTTTTTTCGTTTGTTATAAACAATATGACCCTCGACCTCTACAAATACACAAGTTTAGGCTTTTATTCTATGTATTTTTTACTTAATTTTAAGTCCATAAAATTCGAGTTAGGCCCCGATTTGAAAAAAAAACCTAATTCGCCCGAACTAAGTAGTTTATAAAGAACAATGGAAACAATGATGCTACAGAATTGGCATTAAGATTTCGATATATTATAGGAGTACATGCGGTAAGTGTAAGTATCTAACTTATAACAATCAATATAATAATTGCATTATTAACAAATATTTTTAAAAAATTCAACGCCAAAGTATTGCCATATTAATCAAATGTTAAACCTAACACGTCATGATTCCATTTAACGGTAAAGCAGATGATGGGACTTATACCTTTATTGACACTGTCCTTCATATAGGCACAGGCAGTTTTAGGGGAAGTTAAGCTGGCCACGGATAGGAGGCACTGCAGTTAACACTCTCCTCTCTAAGAAGGTGCACCTGAAAAAGAGGCAATTTATTACTTAAATTGCTATAATAAGTATGGCAATAAAAGTAATAAATAATAATCATAAGTACTAATGAAGAATGCGTAATTTTTCAGATGTGAGGGCATTGATCGCAGTTCCCCCTGAAACCTGACAGCCTAAAGACGTCAAAATCTGTAGGCAAGCGTCAGTAATTACTTTGACTGTGGTATAAATAAGGGTAACATAAAGTGTCGCCGACTGGTAATCTAACTATTATAAACAAGGACCTAATGATAATGTTTTCCACCATCTGTAAGAACAAAATACTCTTATTATTGTAATAATACCGGACTACAAATGTAACTGCACTATTGTTTTTTTTTTGTACTGGCCAAAAGTTTTCACTAGTATTAATAGGAAAGAATTATCAAATTTAAAGATACAAAAATCATAAAAGTTACTTTTAGGGGTACTAATATTCATTTACACCGATATCTCTATCAAAGAGAATGTGATTGTGTAGAAAATTGTACAATTTATACGACTATTATGTCGCAAATGAACTACACAGCACTGAAATCAGTATACACCTGTACTACTAATAATTACAGCCAATTATACAATTTGAATTTTACAGACAAGCTTTGGGAAACCAAACTAATAATTTAATTGGTACGAATACAGGTAAAGTACAACAAAATTAATAAACCAAGGTAATTAACGTTGCATTGATTTTATGCGGAATGATTTCTTAACCTACAGCATAAATGTAAAGAATGATTTATTAAAATATGAAAAAAATTCATATGAACGCGGGTTCTAGAATGAGTCATCAGGAGTAAATAATTTCAGTCGACCCTTGACGGAAAATAACTGTGTACTGCAAACATTTTATTAACAGTAATTTGTGTACCTAAATTGGTGCCTATTGTCTGAAGCTGTTCCAAAGATACAAAACAAAAACCCATTGTCAGCAGCCATCTTTAAACGGTCATAGCTTTCTCAGGACACAAGTTCGTATGAACATTTTTTTCATATTTTCACGTGTACAATCACTTGTTAAGTTTGTGCTTATAGGTTAAGAAACACCGTGAACACTCAATTTTGGGAAAAAAAATTGTGGAGTTATTAGATGGCATTCTTTGACAATAATTTTTTCTATAAGTCTTCCAAATCGCTCTTACAATTAGTCGCTCTTATTTTTACAGTAACGCCAATAAACCTAGAGGGGGTAGCGCTGCCATTGATATTGGTCTTTTATTCAATCATTTACCTTTCATCCAATATGATTTGTTGTGAACGAATACAACTCTCCAAAATATGTAATAATATTATGAAATAGAGTGAAATAAAAATTGTTACTCCTTCTCTCCAAAACCAGAATTTCAAAATCAGAACATGCCTTTGTAGACAACTAAAACGTCATTCTGATGGCCCTTTTTCTAAAAGTTACAAAACGTGCTCAGAATTAAGTAACAGATTCTTCAGCATCAGCAACAAAAAACTATTTTTTAAAATTGACAAAACTGATTTTGGTATTGCTAATTGGAAATTGAGAGCTTTAATTACTTCATCTAAAATTATATTTATTTCGTTTTTAAATTGAGATTGTCAATATTGTTCATCTTAATGAAATTCAACAATTAGCTTCAACTACAAAAGAAAGATGGTTATTAATGACTTAATAGAATTTATTAAGTAATTTATATTAATGTACAATATATGTTTGGTACTTAATAGGATTTATTAAGTAATGTATATTTTCACGGTTAAAAACGCATATAAAAGGAACAAATAATAATTATTGCCTTACATCTGGACTATTTCCAAATCTAACTAACAGTGATTATGAAGAGCATATTTAAAGACGATTAAACAAATAATTTAACTTTAATCTCCATTTGGTTTAACAGTTTCCCTTCTTGATTAATAAATTGAATAATTTCTAAAATAATCATGCTTAACTTCTTATGAAACTGACTTATGGAAAAAGATGGGTTACATCTATATTAGATCTTCAGCGTTCAAACAGTATTCTTTCACGAATGACATGACTTGAAAAATTGTCTTTCTAATAGTCAGGTTTATTTTTTACAATTTGCTATGTAGATATAAGTACCCCATAACTTGTTTTTTATTTCTTACCTTCTTTTTTGGTATATCATACATCTCTTCATATATATAACTTTTATTATATAAATATTAACAAAACTTTAAAACTATTTATTATAAATAGTTATCTATCTGCACCAGAAATAAAATGAAAATGTAAGTATCCTGAATAGAAGACTTCGATATAAAATGTGTTTCTTCAAACTATAATTACACTAATAAAAGTCATTCATATTTATGTAATTATATTAATTGTAATTCTGTAATTAATTGTATTTATGTAATTAATTCTGTAATTAATTAATTGTTGTTTCTGTAATTAATTAATTGATGTTTCTGTAATTAATTCTGTAATTAATTATAATTCTGTAATTAAATGTAATTCTGTAATTTTTAAAAAGCAATTATAAGTATTGAGCAATTTAGAAGAAAATAAAAATTGATGTACTTACCTACCTACAGATTATAACACATTTTGTAAAAAAAGATCTCTATTTTGATTTTAACGGTTCCGTTAAAATTTTACAAATGAAACTATTACATGTTTTATTTTAATCCCATATTAATATTCTGAAAAATATAAACAGCAAGTTCCCGTAGAGTTATGTTGTTACACGAAGGGTAAACCTAGCAAATATTATTTTTCTTCTGAATAAAACTAAAACAAGTACTAAAAACAAAAACTATAATATATACCTGTACATCCTAAATATATCTAAAATTGTATTTTTAAATCAACTAATGAGAGAAAATGTCAGAATATTAGTATGGATATCTAGGCACCTATACATATATTTATTTTAAACAACAACTTTAATTGTATTTTTTATTTTGAAAATAGTGGCCTAAATAAACATAATAAAAAACATGCTGACAACATTTTTATGACATACACTATAGATTGAATTGCATTTACGGTTTTTGTAGCGACATGATAATTTTCTATTTATGGCCCTTAAAACTTACGGGAAAATTTTCGTACTACCGTTATAAACTTGGGAATTTCCAAACATTAATTTTAATCTTTTAAAGCCGATATAGGCAAGGGGTTGGTTTATCCATTTATTACATAAAAATGATCATCCCAATACCTGAAGCAAAATAGGGACGAATAAAGTGACAACTTGTAATTTTATATTTAATTTGTTTGTTATAATCTGAATTTTCGATTATTATTTAGAATTACTGGTTAGATCTGTAACTAAAAAAGATTGAGATACTAATTTTTAATTAGTATTATCCTAGAACTTGTAAAGAAGTATTTTTCCTTATATGAAAAAGTTCTGTAGGTTAATATTGTATTAAAAGAGGTTTTGAATAGAAAAAAATGGTGTAATATAAAAATATTTTATTTCAACAAAAATAAATACATGTTTAAATATTTTCATATCTCGGTACAAAATACCCATACTACCTAATTTATTTGCTTTTATGATTCGTCAAATACCCTGATGGCAATATATATATATGTCTAAAACATTTCCAAAATCTTTAAAAGTTGGAAATTTTCGAAATTGGCTGAAATTGGTAATTAATTTTTAATAATTGGCCTATACTTTTTGAAGTTAACAGCTTAATAAAATTATGTATCATTAAATGAGTCATAGAAGCAAAAGAAGGCGAATATTTATAAAACGAAATAGGAATTGTATAAAAAAGTTTTGTGTAATATTTACACTTAATTACTAACATTTGGTATATCTAGTTGGAATATCGTCATTAACAGTTGTCGTAAAGGGAGATGCTCCCATACCTAAAATACAAAAAGTCCAGTACAGCGTCAATCTTCAAATTAAAAAAATACGTCGACAGCTGCAAGTAGTCGTTCCCATCATATCATATTTACGTTTTTTATGCTGCTCACAAAATGTCTTAAAGTTGAAGTTTATGGATATAGATCACAACTGGTGGGCAAAAAACATACCCCCTACCAAGAACTAAGTAAGTACAGCTAAATTCTAACGAATCGTACAAACATTGTAGGTAAATGCAAATCACAAAAATCAGAAATCAGCTCAAGACCCCAAACATTTCCGTGTACTTTTAACAAAATAGCAAATACTATAGTACAATATAATACTAATCTTTGATGAGACACTTATTGCAAAAAAAAATAAATAAACTCTTTGTACCCTACTGTGATTATAATCTAATAACATTACCAACAGTCCAGTTCTTGAAACGTTGGCTCTATACAAGTCCTTATCACTATCTTTTATTTTCACTGTGTGTTCCAATCACCTTCCATCCTCCACATGCTGAAAGCGCGCGACAGTTTCTCATGGGCCGTGTAAGAACAAACATTACCTAACACATCACTTTCACCGGGATTTTCAGGAGTTGAAGTAGACAGAACGTGGTACAAAAAGTCTATATACCTCGCTGCCAGCTTCAAAGTTTGTATTTTTGACAACTTGTCCGACGGCAAAGTCGGGATGCTCTTCCTCAAACTAGCGAAGGCCTCGTTTAAGCTTTGCGTTCTTTGTCTTTCGCGCACGTTGGCCATTATCCTTTGTGTCTGGATATCCTCGAAACTCTGCGGCGATTTCCTCCTTGATTTCGACTTCGTATTAAAAGAATTCTCGTCGTCGGAATCCAAACTCTTTCGTTTTCTCCCTATGGTTCTTGTCTTCAGCACAGGCTCCTCGACTGGTTCCACTTTAATAAAGGTCTCATTGTACTCGAAGGACTGATGTCTACTATCCTGGTAGTGAGGTGATGGTAATCTTCTGTCATCGCTGTAATGTTTGTCATAGTCCTCGTAAAATCTTGTGTCGTTTAAGTACACATTAGGAACGTCTTTTTGTTGATGATATGGATAAACATTGAAGGCACTTTGATTGTCTGGGCACGGCAAAGTCGCTGGGAGGTATTTGTCACTCGAATTGGTTAAATCCATTAATTTTGTTGGAGTGTATTGGTCATACTCGGAGGAAGAATTGGCTGGCGACAATTGTCTGTACACTGGTGACCCGGGGCCACTTCGAGTTTCGAACATTTTTGTCTGGTCCACTCTGAAGGAAACACTTTGTCACTAGGCGACACTTCAAAGATACATCTGCCGCAACAGGAGATGCGCCACTGTGTATTTCTCAAAAACTTAAGATAGCTTAAATATATTGTCGGCCAATAGACGATGAGGGGAGTCTCTACCGAGATGAATCTTGTTCTATCCCTTTCTGGTGTATAACAAGATCTATTTCCATTTCTGTCCTTCGTTTCGGCATAGTATCATCCCAATGATTCTTTTTGTGTTAATATCCGTCTCTTTTCATTTCATTGATGTTTCGTGAAGTCTAGACCCTCTTTCATTCGTCAAATTTCCTTTATAAATTTTGAAATAGATTAAGTAATTATTTAGAAACACTTACCATCAAGTTTAATGGCAAATCTTATTATGTTTTAAATCTAGTAATCAGGTAAGATTTTTGTAGCTCGGTTTTAATTTCATTAGGAATAAAATTTTCTCTAGTAGCAATTATGCTAATTTGTTCTCTTCGCAATTTATGCTAAATCTTATAAAGGATTTTATCCATTGCTTTTATGAAATGCAAAGCAAGATCGAGTTTGTCAAAAAAACAAAGTTAGGAAAATAAGAAAATTGAAGTAGTCAATAAATTAATAATTTATAAAATTTTTATGTGAATATCGTGAAAAAATATAAATAAAAACGAAATGATATTCTATTTTTAAAATAAATACTTATTTGCAAATTATCAGTTAGTAATAAATAGCTAAATATTTTCAATTTTTTTTAAATATTATATTACGAAAACTCGAAGAATCTATTGGTTTCGTTAAATCCAGTACTCGAAGCCAATCAAATTGAAAATTTGAATGGTTATTTTTCTTTAACTGAGAAATATTTACATGAAATATAATGCTCATTTACAAATTTAAAAAAAAATGTATTAAGCTTACATCTAGTCAAATTTCGTTCAAAATTTATAAAAAATTAGAAATCGTTTATTAAAAATGTTACAGGGTGGTAAGACTCATTGAAAAAACACATTTCTTTAAATAATTGATTCATTAGATTCGAATACTGATACATTATACCAATATGAGAAAAAAAATAGGTAAGAACGTTAGTGATAAAATATATTTCTTCCTAGACACGAGTGAGTATATTTTTTCATTATCTCACAAGTTCCACAAGCTTTAACTACAATGTTAAAAAATTCCCTTACCAATTTTATAACAAACTGTCTTTTTTTGTGCTTTTTGAAATAAAGAAAGATTTTTGAAAAAAAAGGTAACAATAACTGTTCTCCGCCACTATGATTGAGAAAACAACTAATCCCCCACAATTTCAATCAATAGACCTATATAATTTTATTTGCTGATCAACTATCTTGGTGTTATTTAAGATAATGTATTTTTGATTATGCATCTCCCATCCCGATTTTTTTTTACAAATGGTATTCGGAGTCTCGTTCATAGGAAACTTTTTGCTTAAAATGACATATTCTACCTCCTATTATAGTGTGCCTTCATTCTTTAGGAACACTCTGTATTTTTGTATGTCCTCTCGATCTTTTTATAATCATTAATACCTAATATAAACAAGAATAGTACCTAGGGACAGGTATTATAATCTTACGTTTTTGCTTCACTTTTAATCCTGACAGGAACAAACTGGCAGGATATTTAGAGCTGCTTCTCTTTTATAATATGGTTAATTTTATTTATTTTCTAATACTTTATTTATTTATTTATTTATTAAACAATCATACTCTATGTCCTATGTAGTCAGAAAATAGCCATATGTAAATATAGTTATATATTTCTTGATATTTCGGGGATTTTTCTTAACTAAAAATACTCTCTATGGTCGCTTAAAAGTCCTTGAATCCCGTATATATAAAATTTAATTGATCGTTTTGAATTATATTTTGTTTTTATTGGCAAAAAAGCAGAAAGCAGAACGGTGGCACTATTTTCTAAATTTAAATCCTTCCCGGCATAATTTGTCTTCATTTAATTAAGTCCGCTTTGAATGTGGAAATTTATCGTTGGGTGTCAAACTAGTTGTTCGGTACCTAGTAATATTCATCAAAGATATATCACGATCCCGCTTGATAACTAATAATTATCGTTTGTTCCGGTTACCAAAATTTGTTGCTGTCGACTGAAACTTTTGATTTTCTACGAAAAAAATATAAGTTGAAATTCAAAAGCTTAAGAATAATTTGAAATATTATTATTACTCAAATTTTGAAATTTACACATAATGTTTCTACATACTTTGAAGCCAAAGGATCAGTGAGCTTCGTTTTTGAACTGGGGTCACCCCTTTTTTACAAAAAACCTACGCCACTGCATTTTTACATGTCATTGTAACTGATTTATATTTTAATGCACAAAATTACAAAATACGTAAAAAGATTACTTTAATTTTTTCCCTAAGATTCGCCGTTCTCAAATTATTTATACCAATACAATCCCCTTGTGGCAGACACTTCTAACCATAATATTACAAGAATATTTATGCTTAAAAGTATGTGCAATTTGTAAGCACATCAACAAACTTATTTACACTCTGTTCTACACCACCTATGAGGTAGTGTTCCTGGTGTGTTTTAGTTTTCCCTGGAGGCCTAATACTCTTTACAAATAAGAACAATTTAAATCAAAATAATAAAAATAAATTTACCAAGCAACAGCAACTAAACAAGAAACAAAATTAACGTCACCTATTTACAACAATTGTTCAAAATGTGAACCACCCACATCGATGCATTTCTGACATCTTCTATTAATGGAATTAATTGAAGCTAATAACATGTGGTGGTTTTCTTTTAATTCATTACACCCGTCTTCTATTCGTTGCAGTAGTCGTGATCTTGTATCTGCTAAACATAGAAGTTCAGGGGGTTTAGATATGGCAATCTGGCTGGCCAAGACACTGGACCCTCTGCACCATTATGGTTCACAATGGCATTTGGTCTTCTACCTATCCATTGCCCCATATAATTTTTATTAAGTCATTCTTATATTATTCTCCCAGAATGCGCAGGAGCACCATCCATTGTATCCAGCTATTTTGGCGTATATTTAATGGAACATCATCTAATAATTCAAATAGATCGTTTTCTAGAGAATTTTGAAATGACTGGGAATTTAGACGGGGTGGCAAGAAGAAAGACCCACAAACTTTATTGCGAATTATTCCGGGCCACACGTTCACAGAAAATTCGTGTTGAAAAGATCTTGTCCGAATTTCATGTGTATATTCTTGCGACCAAATATGCAGATTATGAAAATTCACTACCTATCGCCTTTGGTAAATGTACATTTATTATTATTTGTAAAAATAGAAGGTTAGGCTTCCAGAGAAAATTAAAACGCGTAAGGAACTCTATCTCACAGGTGGTGTGGAAACGAGTGTAAAGAATTTTGTTGATGTGCTTACAAATTCCACTTACTTTTAAGTATAAACATAAATATTCTTGTAATATTATGGTTAGAAATGTCTGCACAAGGGGATAGTATTGGTATGAATAACTTGAAAACGGCGAATCTTAGGGAAAAAATTCAAGTTACCCTTTTTACGTATTTTGTGCATTAGAATATAAATCCGTTACAATAACTTGTAAAAAATGCAGTGGCGTAGGTTTTTTTTTATAAAAAACGGAGATGACCCCTGTCCAGTTGTAAAGCACTGGTTGTACCTCTAGAGCTCATATTTTAGGGAATGCAAGGCTATCATAGATTATCTGTACCAAATTTTATTTAATGATTAATAGATTCCTGTGATATAAACAAAAAATCTATTTTTTTAACAACTTCAACACTCTGTATCTCTAAAACAGGGTCGTTCCAGACCTATGTTTATAAGGCAAACACATATTAATGTAAAGAGATCTATCTGCCCTCGAAGTTTCCTGCATAAAATTCGGACCACACTGTATACTTAATGAATAAGGTACGACACGATATGAAAAATTTTAGATATCTAGATATTAGTTTTTCCTTTTTAGGTTGCTTTAATATTTAGTGTTGCCGGTGCATGTCGCCGTGATCAACTGCATCAATTAAATTTGAATGACGTAGATGATTTAGGATCAAAGCTTTTGATTAATAATAATAAACGATTACTAATAATAAACGATTACTAATAATAAACGATAATAAAACGAAAAAAACTGATATCATTAGTGATAAAAGATTTGTGATAAACAACACATAAATTGAGCTGAACTATTTCAGAAAAAATGGATTTCTCCTCATTATTACACCGTGTATTGTACGTTAGTCAGCAAAGTAGTTGTTATTCACAGTATCGTAGGTTTATAAACGTTGTTTCGTCTGGTGCGTCACTATCTTCCTTTTATAGCACATGTAGATTAACAGGTCGCTCTCTGCCAGTTTGATCGCATTGAAGACCTACTCATTAAATAGCGGCAGCTATTTATTCAACAATAAAAATAATGTAAAAATAATACACTATTATGGAAAGAGAGTACCTACGTTAATATTTCCTTAGAACATAAATAACACCTTATGCTCAATACATTTAATGAAATAGAAGTTACTTTTGATGATCTGCTTTCATTCAACGATGTCATATTGCTGCTAATGTTAACAAAAATAAGGGTTTTATTTTTTATTATCAAAAATATTTTCGTAAAAATTTCTCATAACTGATCGTTTTGGAGTGAGTTTAAAATTTCAAAAAAAAAAACAAAAATAAGTAATTTTTTTAAAATACCGAGAGGGAAAAATCTTAGAAAGTTGTACCATTTATGACACTTTCTAGTATATCAAATGTAGGCGAATAACGATGGGCGAAATATTGTTTTATACAGAACATCCCGTGCACTATAAATTTTTAACCCGGGTTACCCCAAAGACGGCCGAAAAAGTTGTAACGGGGCAAGGAAATATAACTTCAGCCACGCTCATAACTTACGCCTACCTCCCCAGCTGTCACATTCGAGACGTCCCGGTCCCCTCGAAGACTAATCTATCTTCTATCTACTCTAACACTTACTAAAAAAAATCTCAGAGAGGGTGCTTTCAACAGAAACCACCGCTGCTAAAAAAGCTATCAAA